GTATACCATATTGGTATCTTATAATACTAGAAGTCTTTTTTGCTGCTTATACTTTTATTGATTTTTCAATATTTTATTATCATTTCTATTCTAACTAGTATATATGAGATTTAGTGGCCATAGATTATGTGTCTTTGCTCCATAATTGGTTGTGTTACTACTAATGGTAGAGTGTGTAGTGATATTTGTAGGGAAGGAGATCAAGGTTTGCATGACAATCACGTGTTGATTCTTAGAATCTGATTATGTAATTTATGGTGCTCAGCAGCAGTCAGTGTGATATTCAGTGAATTAGATCAAGTGACAACTGATATTATTTCAGTTTAATAATTAAATTTAAAACATGAGAAAAAAGACAAAAGGTATATTATACTAGTTATATTAAAAAAAGGTGAAAAAATATTTACTATATTAATTATTTTTTCTTATTGTATAAAAAAAGAATAATAAAAAATAGTGAAAACAGTAAATGAAATCAGATTATGAAGAGAAAAAGAATATAAAAAAAAGAAGTTAAATAAAATTAGAAAAGGAAAAAAAAAATAAGAAGAAAACGAGAAAAAAGAAAAGGAGAAAAGGAAAAAAAAGAAAAAAAGAAAGAAAAGAAGCATAGAAATAAAAAAGAATTGGAGAATAAAGAAAAAATTTCCCAAAAAAACTACAATGAGTAGGAAATGTAATTAGTTTATGAGTAGAAAAACAAATGGATAGTAAGGGTAAATAATTGTATTTTTATGGGTAACTGTGTCAAAATCCAAAAGCAATAGGCTTTGTGATTCCATTCCAACGAAAAGCCCCCAACCAGCTAGTCCCACACCGACCAAACCATAAAGCTCTCTTCCGTTTATATGGCAAAAGCTCAACAAAGGACTTCGTCCCTTCGGGGACATCCGATAAAATTGGAACGATACAGAGAAGATTAGCATGGCCCCTGCGCAAGGATGACACGCACAAATCGAGAAATGGTCCAAATTTTTTTTGGCATTGCCCCTATCTCAGATTTTTTAGGGTTTTGTTCGGACCTTCAATCTGAGGTCCGTTTCTTTCTTTCTTCGTTTTTCTATTTTTATTTTTTCAATTCTAGTAATTTCAATATTTTATTGGCTCTATTAGTTATCTAAAAATAAATTCATACATATTACTCAAACATATATATAGACACATCTATATTAAAATAATCGTAATATTAAAAGAGTAAAATAATGTGCATGAAAAACAGAAATCAAAATACACAATCCTTCAACTCTAGTTTAGGTCAACAATTATTATTTATTAATTTAGCATATTTTGTTATATAATTGATGGGCGTTCTACCTAATCCCTAGCACAATCTGTTGTTATTTTTTTTTTCGTGATTTTATTTAACTATGTAATGAAGGCTAAAAAAAAGGTTGAGCTATGTAGAAACCAAATCGACCAAAAAGTAGGCGTAAACCAAATCGGCCAAAAAGTAGGCATCCAGAATTTGACCCAAAGTCAACTATGTAGCATTAATGTGTGCGTTGTTTAAATGAAAAAAAAAAAAGCCCCAGGTAATTTACAATTATATACTTAAATTATACAAATAATTAAAGTTATAAAAATCGATCAACGTTTCAAAGATATTTTTTTAGCCTAATATATATAACCAATGAGTATTTATAAATATCGGCTACGAAAAATAAACCGTGAATTTGGTGGGCTATTTGTGTAAAGATCCCGTAAAGAAGTGCAGTTCTCGACGGGCTTAATGTTTTTCAGCCCATCTTGTAATGGACTATAAAAAAACACTCAACTAAACGAGCAAAGGAATAGGCTTTACTGATTCCATTCCAACGAAAAGCCCCCAACCAGCTAGTCCCACACCGACCAAAACATAAAGCTCTCTTCCGTTTATATGGCAAAAGCTCAACAAAGGAGTTCGTCCCTTCGGGGACATCCGATAAAATTGGAACGATACAGAGAAGATTAGCATGGCCCATGCGCAAGGATGACACGCACAAATCGAGAAATGGTCCAAATTTTTTTTTTCTCCTGCTAGGGTTTCGTTGGAACCTTCAATCTGAGGTCAGTTTCTTTCTTTCTCCTTCAATCTGAAGAAAGTTTCTTTCTTTCTTCGTTTTCTTTATTGTCCCTCTTTGTTTCTGTAAATGTTCAAATAACAGGTAGTTATTGAAGTAATTATATGAATAATTTGTCCGTTTAGAGAATTATAAGCTGAGCTGTCCTTGCTATTGATTATTGAATGTTTTCTATGTCAGTAAAGCAGCTATTTCACGTTTTCCTGACAGTAAAACAACTATTCAGATAGCTGCTACTCCTCGCTTCCATGAGCGAATAAATCATATAGAAATTGATTGTCATTTTATTAGACAAAATGTGCGAGAAAGGATCACCCAAATTGAGTATTTTTACAGCCATTGTACCTGGTTTAGTGAAACTTAAGGCTCGGTTACAGATGTGGAAGGAAAAAGGCTCACTCAGCTCATGGGCTACCTGGCAATAGCTCTATCAGACAATGCTCAGAAAATACGTAAGCTCCTCTGTCAAAGCAACAATACTAGTAGCCGTTATGCACTAATCTCATAATTTTTTTGGTATGACTAATGCCCAAGGAGTCAAGGACAACATTTATGTATGTAGCACAACCTAAGTTGTGCGAACTCTTCGATTTGGGTGCCGTCCCCGTCCGGATATGGGACGAATACGGGGACGGGATACGTCCCGGATACGGTCAACTGACTTCGGACACTTTGACCGGAGTCCATCGACAAATTTGGGAGAAATATTGAGATTTTGATTTCTCAAAATCAAAAATAAAACAAATTTAGAACAATGAAAGAATAATGTCCATCTTGGAGAATGAAAGATTGAGTTGTATAATATTCATGTAAGTTTTTCACAAAATATCTCTCAAAATTTACAATATTTTATAGCTCTATTTTTTATTAGCCGAATCCCCGCACCCGTATCCATATCCGGATGCACCCCTAAATCTTAAAATTTAGATTTTGCCGAATCTGATACTCGGATCCGTCCCCGTATCGGATACCCGCACCCGAGTCCGAGCAACTTAAAGCTCAACCATACAAGAACAGCCACAATTTATAAGAACCCTGTAAACTTCCGTTTGAGCGGCGCAGGAAGGGTTGATTTTACTAGCTTGGACCTTTAAGCCTCACTCTTCTTTCGATCCTTCTATGATCTAACAAGGGCACTATGTATTGTTACACCAGTCGTTAGTAAACCTAGTTTTACTTGTCCAAGCAAGCGTAAACGCTTGCGTTTGTGTTCTGTAAACTATGTAGACATGCAGCAGATGCTGTCTAGTCAACAATGCCAGTACTAGCTTGGATCTTCGGAGACATTCAGCACACGGAACTATTTTTTTACTCGCACGTCGGTCTTTGTTATCTGTGTGTTGCCTTTTCATCTTCTCAATCATTAGCCACATAGTTTATCCCATGAGCTAGTTAAGCCAATGCAGTTTTGGCCCCACATCCAACTCCCGATTTGTTTGTTCTTGGATTACTGGTGATATTTATTCAATAGGATGAGAAGCTCATTTCTTCTATTTTATAATACTGCCAAACAAGCCCTTAATTTACCAATGTGTCACCCCAAGCATTTACAATTGATCTAGTTGAATATATTGAGAACTTTACTGCAGATTGTTGGTCTAGTTACTCTCAAGAATCGGAACAGTGATGTGAGTAGGGATAATCCGACTGAAGTGAGCACTGTTTAGTTGATCAAAGATCATCTTTACAAACCCTCCTTTTAATTTGAACATCTTTCTCAAATTGAAATGAAATCTTAGTTGCAGATGCTAGTCCCAGCTGAACTACTTATGATGCACCATTTCGTTTCCTGGAATTTATTTTCATATAATTTGGCTGATTCTGCTCAAGTTACTATTACATGTTGCTGTAGTGATATAGCTTTCTCATGGGTTTATTTCAAGAAATTAGTTTTACGGCTTTTAATCACAAGAGATATTACTTATTTCTATAACCACAAAACTTACCAACTGAAACAATTTAGGAAAAATGTGGACACTCTCTATTGTGCTCTAAACACCAAAATAGTCACGTTAAGTGATATGGATAGTTCCCTGAATAATATAATTTCAAATCTACAAATAATCTGAATTCATAACTCTTCCAGTTCAGCTCTACATTTTCTGTTTGTTAGATTCTTATCAAGGTTGTACAAATCTGGTAACCAATTCCCTAGGAACTCAGTTATTCTTAAAATTCATTGTAGGAGAAAGTGTCTAGATTTTGATAAGAAAAGAAAGATCATCTTGTGTTTAGCTTAAATCTTTTAATTCTATTATTATATTTTATATAAAGGCCTAAATCTTCTAATCTTTTCCAAATGTTTTGTCACTTTCCAACTGTGAATTGCTAATTAGTAAACTACACTTCTGAGGTATTAGGGAGGAGTATGTTTATACAATAAAAAAAGAAAAAGTAATATAGTGCTTGAAAAAGAACGCAAAATTGGAAGTAGATGAAGTAGTTTATAAAGGAACAAGTGCAGTATTTCATGTGTTTCATCCTAGTATAGTCCACAAGCAGCCCATTTGGTAAAAGGCCTTTCAGAAAAGCTCAACTAAACAAGAAAAGGAAGGAAGATGCTTTTTCCGGTTTTATCCCAACGAGCCCCCCAAACTATTGGAGCGGATAAAATTGGAAACATAGAAGATTAGCATGGCCCTGTCACAAGGGTTGACATGCACAAGCTGAGAAGTGGTTCAAATTCTTTACTCCAATCCCCCAATTTGTTAAGGTTTTGTGGAACCTTCAATCTGAGATATGTTTCTTTCTTTCTTTTTTTTCTTTCTTTTTTCGTTGTCCCTCGTTGTTTATGTAAATTGTTAAAAGCTTCTTGTTTTAACAATATTGATTGAAGTGCTGTGAATTTTTATGCTCCATAGTAAATTGCGAATATTTATTGAGCTGATTTTTTAATGTGCAATTTGTGTCAGCTTAATGTCAAGTTCTTTGTTAAATCGGGTGAATGAGTCCTTTGAGCATATTATTTGATATTTAAACAGAAGATAGTGTTAAAACGTTGGAAGTAGATTTGTGTTATTGGTACTGGAAATAGAGTAATGAAGGGTGATAATTTCTGTCATGATTGTTGTTGGTTACCTAAATCAGGGTTTAAGTTTAGAAATAGGCAAGAAGATGTGATTATAACAATGCAAGTTAATATGGTGGCTTGAACTCTTCATTTTGCTATGTGGACACTTTCAAAATTCACTAGAGCTATTCTAAAACTTGAATTCATGCGCTTCGATCCATGTCAGGGCTCAGTTACAGATGTGGAGGAAAGGGGGTGGGGGTGGGGGGGATCAGTTTAGTACTTTGTTCTGGTTTTCATGCCACCAACATCTAAGTGATTTGAAGGGTTGGGTTTGATCTGTTAGCCATGTACGCAAAGTTGATGAAAAGGTGTTTGGAGATAAAATCTGTGTGAAGAAGTTCAGCTATGGCGGTTATTGAATCAGAGATGTGAGAGGAAGAAGAAGAAAGGAGAAGCAGAAGCAGACGGTTACTTCATTCTGCTGAGAAAAATATGTGTACTGTTACATTGAGCTTAGACTAGGATACTATTTATACACTCTACTAATTGTAACTAATCTAACTACTTACTATGGTAAAGTATATGCCTAACTACTCTACTAACTGTAGTTTAGTTAAATAAATGAGAGCTACTTCTCTCAACAATCTGTACCCCTTGGCTTCTGCTTATCGAAGAATATATCAACAGGAGATGGTTAGTGTTTCATTCTCTGTTTATGCATCATTGGCTTATTGCCTAGCTTAGCAACTTGCTGCTTCTTTAAGAAGAATTTCTTTCTTGAGGCACCCTTTCCCTAGCAGCCTCTTGGTTTCATTCTTTACAATTGAACCAGGCCAGTAGCTGCTGCTGGCTTTCGAACAGCTGTAGCATCGACGGATAGAGCAAAGAGTCCTCAAACTTCAAACATTTCTTTATCTTTTTTCCTATTTTGGAAAACAAGCGCTAGGAGGACAGTAAAAGTTATGACCATGTTTAGCCTTCTAGATGGTAGGTTGCAACAGAATTACCTGCAAATGCGCTATTCCGCTTACTCAGGAACATGTTGCTGAAGTACATTGTCTCCGTCTTGCTTTTAGAACACACCAAGTTGGTCGTTCGCTGTAAGTGTGATATTCGTTTCATGTATATCTTCTCCTTATCGTGCTAATTTTATCTGATGTACCCGAAGGGACTATTTGTTTCTCTATATGCATGCATATGCCCAGAGTATAATCTTACTGTTGCTTGGAAAGTATTGCGACATCCATCAAGTTCTGAGAGACTAGCTGTTAATGTGTTGAATATCTTGATTGGTTGTTGGACATAGTTTGAAGTATGATAGTCAAAGTTAAATACTAAAAGCTCCCATCAATTTTCAAGAAAGGGACCTTTTGACAAGAAATGTCATCTTTGGTCCTTCGTTCAGTCATTGAGGTGATAAGGCTGCTTTCATTTCAAGGCACCAACCATCATCGTACAAAGTGCAGTTTAACGAACATCCAAACTTTCCAAAATGTTCTTGTAACTCACCACAAACTCTTATTAAAGCAAGGTAATTGCTCTTATTTTACCTGACAAAAGGGGCAGCCCGGTGCACAAAGCATCTCGCATGCACACGAGATTCCAAGAAAGGCCGCACCTAAGAGGTGTGATGTTGACAACTTACTTTTAATGCAAACACTATTGGTTGCTTCCACGACTTGAAACCGTAATATATATTGTTCTTATTTTATGTGACAGTGAAAAAGAAAATCATATTTTGACAGTCGAAGACATCAAAAGCCGTTAGCTTCAACTCTCAAGATGGATTGAAGTTCGAAAAGGGTACAATAAGGTTCTCTAAAATTTCCATCTTACGTTGAAAAGTTAGCCAGATTGAAATCCGAATAGGGTACAATATAAATGAGCTGATGTGACAGCGAAAAGACTTTAGGATAATTTAGATGATGTGACTATTATAATTTACAAAAGATCCTGCGAGAGCATTTTACATACAACAAATAGCTTGAATATTAGACCTCTCCTTTGAGTCAAATCATTCTTTTCCTTTACACTTCATAATTTTCCAAGCTTGCACCTTCATTCTTCATTTTTTCTCTAACTCTCTTCAAACAAAAAACCTTCTCCTTTTGCATAATGGCTTCTTCCTCAAAGCATACCAGTTCTTCAAAGAACAAGAAAAAGACAGAGGCGGAGGCGTATCTAGGAGGAGTTCCATGGGGCACGTGAACCCATGCTCCCCTTCCTAAATTATACTATATAGTAGTGTTATATTTTCTAAAATATATATATGCACCCATGCACAAAATATTATAGGATGTGATGGTTATTTGGTGTACCTTTCTAAGTGAGGTTGTGAGTTCAAATCTTATGTATGTCTTGTTATTTTTTTTTCCAGTTTTTTAGAACTAGACGGCCATGGGAGATGGGCGTGTGCAGTGTCACTTTTTGCGCATTAATTAGTACTATTTTCTTTTATTTCTTTTTTTTTTGTTTGGTCTATTCTTTCAAAATTTTCAAGCATTGAAATTCCTATTCTTCTTTTCTCACTATAGAATCTTATATGATTAAACAAAAATGTGTATGTTAAAACAAGTAGAGGTGTACGATGTAGCATATAGTCAATGGGTTCAACTGATCCCAATATTTTTAACATGAAAAATAGATATAGATGTAAGAAAATTACTAGTAAAAAAAAAGTTAATTTTGAACTTATAATTCCAAAAATATAATGGGTGGAAAATAGTAAGAAGTAAAGGTTTAACCCGTAAAATTTATATCTCTCTTCTTAATAGTGCACCCATCCTGTAAAATTTATCTCTCTCTTCTTAATGCTCCTAAACGCACACGCAAGTATACGCGGTCGTCAAGTAATAAAGGGACTAAAAGTCGGATGTCGATCCCACGAGGACTTGTGATTAACCATTAACTAAATTAGACTATCCTGATTATCTAAACAAGAATTAAACGTAGAAGTAATTGATTTTAAACTAATTAAATAAAGAATATAAATAATGAACTTTAAATAGAGGAAGAGCAGATTTTTATAATATCAATGTAATGAAAACGATCTAGGGTTATGGGCTATCTAACATTCCTATTGTATTCTTCAATTGGATTGACTAACTAATTTATCTAGTTTATTGGTTGACAGGGTTAATATTGCTCATAAGAATCTGTCGAGTTCTTACTCGCCTATTCAAGCTAACCTAACGCCTATATGTCCCATGGAGTTAAAATCAACAAGAACGTATTTATAATTCCTGTATTTCAACCAAGCAAGGCAATTAGGTATATGTCTATCCTAATTGCGAATTCGTTCCCCGATGCCCAGGTTCAAGAACTTGCTCTACTCAATCCTATATGCAATCAAGAATTCCCACTTTCGAGTTCAACTCTAGATTCGTAGATAGTATTCAATTGGTGATCAAGCAATCAAATAATTACGTGCAGGATTAAATAAATAAACCAATATGATAAACTAAGAAATCAAAATCAATATCCGAATAACAATAGTCATGAAAGAACCACAACCCTAGAACGTGAAGCTTAGCTCCACATAGACATGGTAGCAAAACAATAAATCATACAGAGAAACATAAAAATTACTAAGTTGGTGGAAGAAAAGATGAAACCCGCAACGGCGGCTCCGTGCTTGTGTTTTTCTCTCAAAAACGTCCTCCTCCCTTTTTCTTGCCAAAAGTCCCCTAAAAATTAGTGTTTAATGACTATTTATAAGTGTAGGAAAAAAACTAGGTAAAATAACCAAGTCCAAAACTAAAAAGGAGATAACATTTCCTCCAGACTTCCAATTTTACCCCTGACAATTCTTTTCCGGAACTGGGACTAGCGCGAACGCGCTACTGTTCGCGCTAGTCTCCTGACATTCTGCCTCCCGCTTCTGGACTAGCGCGAACGCGCTAGACCTCGCGCTAGACTTCGCGCTAGTTCAGGCCATTTTTCTTCAATTCTTTGTCTAGTCTTTGCGCGCACTCAGCTCCGAGGGATATTTCTTGCTCCAAATTAGCTCCAATCTCAACTTTAAGGCATCACATAGGCTCCTCGTCATCTTCTCCAATTGTTTTGTGCATTTTGTTCCAGAATCCCATCTTTAAAGTACCTACACATAAAATAAACTCAATTAAGCACGATTGTATTACAATTTAGCATTAAAACATCAAAATGTAAAGTAAGTAATGCACTAAAAATATGGAATTATAGCCAAACATCACTACCCCACACTTAAGCGTTGCTCGTCCTCGAGTCAACCAACACTTTACTCTATCTTTCAGCACTTTGTTTTTACACAATTGAGGTACACTATACCAATGATCATGGTTAATAGCAACAATTAAACTTTAGCATATGCAATCACATACACTTCCCTTTTTCTTATGCCAACTTCCAAAATATTCAAACAAAGACAACATGCTCATAACAATCCTAGCCTCAAAAACCGACTCAATGTCACAATGCACTCATGGCTTGAACACCCAACATCCTAGAGAAGTCTAATAATGTTACCTATCCTTCGTGAAACCATGTGCCCTCACAACCAAGGCAAGAGAGTAAGTTGAATCCACACATTCGAATCTCATGATCAAATATATTTTAAGGACTCGATTATATGCAAAGAAAATATCGCTCACCCTCACAAAAGAAGTCACATGCATGTAATTGGTACCATAGACTTGCCCTTAATGTAAATCTCTACTAATGTAGACTTGCTCGATCTACAATCAATTAGGTCTTTTTCATGGTTGTAATGTGGGCTAAGGGACGGGTAGGATATATTTAGGAATAGTGACTAACCCTCCTAAGCACTTTAACACATCACATAATCAACTTTAAGCGCAAATTCTTCAACACCACTTCAATTTTACAAATAATATCAC